AGGTGCAGGACTGAGATGGGCACCACTTACCCCAGGGGTGGGATCCTGAAACTGTGGATAGTTCCACACCCTGTGTGTACGCCGATGTTTGCTTTTCACTTGAAGGAAGGCTGCTCATTGGCAAACCCGAGTTGCCTGCGTCACTGCTCTGGGCCTTGGGGCCCTTACTCAGTCAAATAAGGGTGATGTGAACACAAGCACTGTGACACTGGACAGCTGACCTGATCTCAGGAGGCTCCTAAGTGGCTAACGGGGGGAGGTACACAGNCATAAGGGGTGGTTCACGCGTTGGCAGGTTGGAGATGGATGGAACCAGATTTCATCACCCTACTCAGAATAATGTACAATTTAAAGCTTATAAATGGTTTATTTCTGGAATTTTCCATTTATTACTTTTTGACAGGTTTTGAGGGAAGGTACCTGAAACTTCAGAAACAAAGGCCACGGATAAGGGGTGACTGCATATAGATTCGTACAAAACAGATCTGGGGTGACAGCTGGGAAAGCTCCTACACGGTGCCTGTGGGGTCATTGGATGCAGTCGATTTCAAAGAGGAGGGGGGAGCAGAGAATGGAACAGGCAGAGGGAGAGGCAGGAAGGGTGGGGTGGTCAAGACAGAACAGTAGATGCCAGCAAAGGAAGAGACAGAAACTGACTCAAAAATGACAGTTCAGGTGACTCTCTGCCCGTCTTCCCTTGCAGGTGAGAAGGCTCATGCCTACGCCGGTGAGTGACTCAACCTCTCTGGTTTCCTGTGTAGGAAGCATTTACCCCTCTCTGTGCTGGTGTGTGATAATCAGATCCAGCTCAGAGGCTCATTTTCTGTGGAGTCCCACCCCCTCCTTTCTGGACACCCAGAGAGGACCTTCCACATGCAGTGTCCCCTCACCCTGCTGACACACCCACACCTGGGCAAAGCCTGGCCATGGCGCCCACAGACCCAGGGTGATGGAGGGGAGCCCAACACTCAGCGAGGTTTTATGCCTGATCCACAAGCTGTACTTGAAGGAAAATGGATGTTGGAAAAGAGGGAGGAAAGCAGAAGAGGCTCAGTGAGGAGAGTGGGTGGGGGAAAGACAGAACTAATGGCCTTTCCTTGTCTGTGTCTCCTTCCTTTCAGTGTTGAAGACCACCTACCAACCTGGTGAGTGAACCACTGTGTGTCCTCTGGGACAACCGCCCAGGGCCCTGCTCCCTTTTCTTCTCTAACTCTTCACTGGGAGAGTTCTGGGTGGGTGACTTGAGGTCCTGGTCTCTAAGGTGGGCCCATCTGCTGCTGAGTCCCCAGAGAACCAGGGGCAGCTGCTGTCCTGGGCATCCCCAGGTGTGTGTGGGAAGGAGGAGGCTGAGGGCTGAAGCTGGAGGAAGGGGTAGGAGAGTGAGGATGTGACCTGACCAAGCTCTGCCCCCTCCTGCCCTGTATGCCTCAAGTTGTGTCCTCAAGTTGTGCAAGGATTCTGAGCTTTAGTCTCCTCGTTAGATGATGGTGGTCATTCCCACTATGTCAGGGTTGAGGTGAAGACTAGATGAGGTAATAAATGACTGTTGTTCAAAACACCATCAGGAAAGTTCAAAATGGGTCTTTGATGTGATGACCCTGGTGAGGAGAAGGTATCTTAAGACATAAAAGCGATGCTGGCAACTCCTTAGAACATAACAGACGGTTCTATAGGATGATTTGCTCACTGGGGTGTCAGGTTGGAGTGGACATTCGCCTGGACAATCTACACAGATTAATCACAGCTATCAGACCCGTTACAGCATTTTTTATATACTATAACTTGGGTACATGTGATTGACAGGACAAAGGGACAAAGAATATGGCAGCTCCTGCCGACAACTGCTGGGCTTCCTGTGGTGGACAATTCTTTACAACCGATTTTATCACCAGTCTGGTGTCAACATAAGAAATATTCAAACCTCTAGAGAATTGTTATGACTTTGTTTGAGTGCAACTGACAATTGCCAGGAAGCAAAATCTAAACGGATTTTAAAATATGCTTCAAAAGTGGTAGTTTTCCCCCTTATTTTATACATTACAATAAAAAATAGGAGGTGTAAGTGGGTTACATGAAGTCCACTGGTGATAGGTTAGGGAGGCAGGAGAGAGCAAAGCTGGGTGGGGAACCTCTGGGACTGGATAATAAAAAGTGAAATGATAGACACATACGTCTTTTGCATGGTGGGTGCAGAGTAGTTAACAGTCCACAGCTAACAGGGCAGCAGTGAGGGGATTCATGGTCTGTGCTCTAGAGGGGTCCTGAAAACGGGAAGTTACCTTGATGTTCCAAAGGTGTGTTATCATAGATGCAAAAAGACAATACACAGCTCAATTAAGGTCAAGACTGACTTTTGTCAGGGAAGATTCCAGTCTAGGACATGAGGACCCACCATAAGCTGCCTTTAGTTAAAAAGTTTTAATTTAAGAACATCCTATGTGATTGCTGCAGTTCTCTGAGTTTGTAAGGCCACCGTGCAGGCCTCCTGAGAGCATATCAGTTTCAGTATGTGACCCCGTTTTGTCCACAGTATTGACCTTGGTTGTGATGCCATTCTAGCTGTTACTAACAAAAATGTTTGTGGCTGCATTTAAGGAACACAGACAAACATGACCCAAAGGCTTTGCTGTGCTTGCTAAGGACAGTGAGGTGGGCCACAGGTCACAGCATGAAGAGGTGAAAGAAATTCATGACACGGACATGGAGTTGGTTTTGTTCACAGGGAATCTACACCATGATTAAAGAGGGTTTACAGAAGGAACTACTTGGGGTGCAGGGTGGGGAGTGGCCTTGAGGGAAACCAAGGATGAATGCTGTCCCAGGGCTCACAACAGTGGGAGTTGTCCCCACCCTTAGGCCCAAGGCAGAGGGACTAGAAAGCTTCACTGGATTTAGGAACAGGCTGGGCTCAGGGAGAAGCTGCCTGAGAGGAGTCCTGCTTTGTTAGAGCATCTCCATAGGAGGAGGTGGGATGGCAGTGCTGTGCCTCTCTTTCCTTTCTGCTCCCNTGGGAAGGCAGTGCTGTGCCTCTCTTTCCTTTCTGCTCCCAGTCTTCAGCTAGTACCTGCCCTGGCCAAACCCAACAGGTAACCAGAGGCAAGGGAGCCCAGTGGTGCTGTCCAAGGAGGACTACTTCCTGGGGCCAGGGGGTGGAGACAGCTGGGGAGTGGATCCCAGAGCATGTAGAGCCCCCAGCATGTCCCCAAGCAAAGCAGAGACATGGTCTCTATTATCACACCAGGCACTTCCTCCATGACCAGCCTTGGACTAAATATAGCACATTTTGTCTTATTGTATTCTAGAGATCAGTATTTTTACTCCTATTTTACAGATATCAAATTGAGAGTGGAGATCCTGCATAGGTTGGGTCTATAGGAAAAGAGACTGTGCAGAGAAGGAAGTCATCCAGCTCAGGAGGGTAGAGCGAGGGCTGGAATTTGAATCTATGTGACTATACAGCACAGGTGGGCATGGACATTTGGGGAGGGAAACAGGAAAAAGGTAGAAGGAAGGCACCAGCTGAAGAGGCAGGTTAGGCAGACCCCCACCCTCCTCTGCCTCCCCTTCCTCACAGACAAAAGGCACCTGCTGTATCTCTTGGCATTGCTGAGGGTCACATCAGGGCAGGCTGGGGACCTCACGCTCTGGGCTCAGCCTTGAAGGCTGAGGCTCTGAGGACCGGGAACCATGGCTGATCCCACTCCATCTCTGAACCCTCTTCAGCGGATGTTATTCTGGACCCGGACACTGCGCACCCCAATCTCCTTGTTTCTGAGGACCGCAGGAGCCTGCAGTGGACAGACACAGAGCAGAGCCTGCCAGACAACCCCAGAAGGTTTTCTGGGAATTTCTGTGTGCTGGGCTGTGAGAGTTTCACGACCGGCAGACATTTCTGGGAGGTGGACGTGGTAGGGAGAACACAGTGGTATGTTGGGGTGTGTAGAGAGAATGTGGAGAGAAAATGTTTAATTAAATTAAACCCCGAGAGTGGATTCTGGATAGCGGGGATGTATAAGGTGAATGACTGCCAGGCTCTCACGGAGCCCCGGACCCCACTGTCATTTGGTGACCCTCCTCCTCAAAGAGTTGGGGTTTTCCTGGACTATGAGAAGGGGGAGGTGTCATTCTACAATGCCATCGATGGATCACATATCTACACCTTCAAAAACACCTCTTTCTCTGGGCCTCTGTGGCCTGTTTTCAGGATTTTGCTCTGGGATCCCACTGCCTTGACCATTTGCCCAGCCCAAAGAGAAGTAGGGAATGCCCTTGTGACTGTCCCAGTGCCTGACCCTTCCCTGGAGACCACAGTGGCCTCAGGCTCAGCTGATGGGAATGAGGACCCTCAAGCTGAAGTAACGTCTCTGCTTCTCGCTGCCCAGCCTGGAGCCCAGGGCCTCCTTAAGAGCAAAGTGTCACAGTGATAAAGTACTTTCTAAAAACACTGAGTGGATGAGCCCGGGGGCAGCTGTGGCCGCGTGGCCACGCCACCTGGACGCCCACTGCCTCAGCTCCCTGCCTTCTTGCTCCACTGGCTGCTCGCTTCCCGCCACACGAGGCCTCCTCGGGGACTCAGGTGCTGCGTTCTTACTCTGCGGGGAAGTAAAAGAGTGCTGTAGGGTGAGAAAAACATGCCTCCCAAGTTCAAGCGCCACCTAAATGATGACGATGTCACTGGTTCTGTGAAAAGTGAAAGGAGAAATCTTTTGGAAGATGATTCAGGTGAAGAAGAGGACTTTTTTCTAAGGGGACCGTCTGGACCAAGAGTTGTTCTGAGAAATGATAAAATTAAGCATGTTCAGAACCAGGTGGATGAAGTTATTGATGTCATGCAAGAAAATATCACAAAGGTAATTGAAAGAGGGGAGAGATGAGATGAACTTCAGGACAAATCAGAAAGCTTATCGGATGACAGAACCACTTTTAGCAACAGATCCAAACAGCTTCGGGGGCAGTTTTGGTGGCGTGGATGCAAACTAAGAGCCATCATGGCGCTGGTTGCAGTCATCCTTTTATTGGTGATCTTCATTCTTACAGTTGTGAAATACCGCACTTGATTTTTTGACGGAGATCTTCATTAAACGAAGCCTGGGACAATAATAATAATAAAAGATTGCTGTATAATTTATTTTTATTTTTTTAAAGATACAAATTTTTATTTTTACATATCTTTATTGATTCCAGAGAGAGGAAGGGAGAAGGAGAGAGAGAGAGATAGAAACATCAATGATGGGAGAGTCATTGATCGTAGCCCGCAACCTGGGCACGTGCCCTGAATGGGAATCGAACCCTGATCGCCTAGAATCCCGGGTCGATGCTCAACTGCTGAGCCAAGCCCAGCCAGGCTGCTGTATAATTTAAATGAAACCCATGTATATAACTTTCAAAGCTTCTTTTTCAGGAAACTAAGAGGCAAGTATCACTTCAAACTGGAGCATTGAGAATGTCCAGTATCGTTTTCCTTTCTAGCAAAATGTGCTTTTAATAATTATGTTCAAGGCCAGGACAGCCAGCCTCTGTTTTGCCACATTCCAAGGATCTAATCTGAAACGAGATGCTTGCCAGTTCACTGTCTGTGTCTGTAGTTCAACACTGATAGGAGATTTCCTACCGTTTCCTTCATGGCCTGAGGACCTGTGCTCTTGCACTCAGGTGGGGGTCAGGAAGCCTGTGTAGCCAGGCCACCCATGTTCGCAAAGCGCTTCTCTAGTTACAGTTGCTTTGCAGTTTCCACCTTTATGGGTGTAACGAGAGCTAAGTGCTATGAACACTGCTGCCTTCAGCTGTGACTAAAAACATTCCAGTAAGTCTATTTTTGACTGTATAAGGGAATGTGTAGTAATTTCTTGGCATTTGAATTATGGAAGTGGGACTGATAAACGGTGTGAAAGGCATAGTAATATGGCACCATGAAACAAGATAATAAAATGATTGGAGAATGTCCAAAACAAAACACTGAGTGAAGCACTTCACTGAGATTCATTCAATTTTTCCCACATGACAGATAAGGAGTGGAGCATGGGGAAGGTGAATTAACTTTCCTAAGGTGACTCAGCTGGCTTGGAACTAAGACAAGCTAGTAAGCCAGGACAAGCAGAAGAGGGAAACTGAGACAGACACTTAAACAGCAGTTTGCAGCCATGTAGTAAATCCTGTCTTCCCTAAACCAGGGACACTTAAGAGGAAATACTTTGCACTTCTCCTCCCCAACCAGCGGTTCAATAGCTTAAATCACCCTAGTCAGGGAGACAGCAGAAATCAAATTCGTGCCATTTGCCAACCACACCCAAGGACAGATGAAGTCAAGAGAATAAATTTCATTTTGGTATCAGCATAAAGCTGATGCATATTCTGTTGAGATCCTCTCCTAAGACCTCCCCCAAACTCCCAGCCTTTTAGACCCCTCAAAACAAAGGTCCCAGCCCACACTCTCCCTTGTGCCTCCCACCCCTCTTCTTCCACCACAAGCACACATCTCCTAAACTCTGTGGGCAGCGCTTTTCCTTGAGCTCTGTTGAACCAAAGCAGCCCAGCCGAGGCTCATTTCCGTGACCCTTCCTTGTTTCACTGTCCCCAACTTTAATAATAATCCTCTAAAATTCACCTACACTCCTGTTGTGAAATTTGTTCTACATGAAGTCAAGAACCTACACACTACCAGCTGGCCCTTGGCAGATCCACTCAGGGTGAGGTCCTCTGTCCAGTGACATTCTCTGGTGACCACAAAGGGACTTCAACNCATGAAGTCAAGAACCCACACACTACCAGCTGGCCCTTGGCAGATCCACTCAGGGTGGGGTCCTCTGTCCAGTGACATTCTCTGGTGACCACAAAGGGACTTCAACACTCAAAGAACAACCACAGCTAACATTTATAGATAAGTTAAAATGTACTGGGTGCTGTGCTGAATGCTTCTCTGATTTCACTCACTAATCCTCACAATACCCCTGTGAGGTGCCTCAGTGAAAATGTAGAAACTGAGACAGAGCCAAGTTAAGTGACATATATCATTCATACTGAAAGTAGTGCTGCTGGAAGATGTTCTGCCTCTGCCCCCTCCCTCTACCTCTAGTCTGTTCCTTTGCAGCCATTGTTCCTGCTGAGCAGGGTCCTGTGCAGTCCTGAGGTTCCCTTCTCAGGGCACCAAGGGTAAAGGTCACTGTAGGTGACTATGAAGGCCACACCCCACTTGGTTCCTTCAGGGTCCACTGTCAGAGCCATGGTCCAGAGCTTCACTGCCTGGCTGTGCAGAATGACTTTGNCTCAAGGGTCCACTGTGAGAGCCATGGTCAAGTGCTTCACTGCCTGGCTGTGCAGGATGACTTTGTCCAGGGATGAATTCACAGTGACCATGTCACACAGGGCTGAAAAGGGACTAGAGGCCAACCTCTTAACCAACATGTGACCTGCGATCACTGAGCACAACCAGCCCTTTAAACTCATACTTAAAAGACAAACATAAATTTGGGAAGAAGGGAGCTAGATGAACTTCAGTGGGATTTTTATCACACTGTAGAACCATGTTAAGAATTGTGCCTTGGGAAGATTCTTCTAGAAGAAGTGTATGCAATGGCCAGGTTGGGATCTGCAGGTCACAGGAAGGGAGCATTGTATGGGTATAGGGGTGCTGGGCCCAACCAGACCATCCAGTGGCAGTCAGGAAGCCTGTCTTCACTGCCATGGTCCTGAGGGCACTGCAGTGCCACCTCCCAAGGGAAAGGAAAGGCTTTGGACTCACTCAGTATCCTCAGATCTCTCACTCAAAAGTTTCTGAATGAGTCCCAGAGTCTCCATCACAGCTGCTGGCTCCATTCTCTACCCCCAGTCCTTCCCTGTGTCCTCCCATCTCTCCCCTGCCCCTTACAGCTCAGCAACTTGCAGGAGAGTCCTTGGCTTTGGGAAGAGGGTGCTTATGTCCCCCTCAACACCTGCCCATCCCAAACCCAACCACACACACACACCTGTACACATACAGGCCTCTGTCCTGGGAGTGAGCAGGGATGCCACAACACTCAGGGAATCGGAAGACCATATAAAAAAATTTATAAAAACTTACATTGCCTCTGAAATGAGACAAAAAAATAATAATTAAAAGGCCAGATAATCTCCACAGGCTATTCCCAGTTGTGCGTTTTTCATGCTTAAGCAGCTTCTTTGTATTCTACTGAGTGACTGGTGAGGAGGGGACTTGGCCCTGGGACCTAGAAAAAGAGATGCCTTCTGAATCTCACATTCAGTGCCTCTCAATCTCCCCTCCTCTCCCCCTCTCCTCTCTCTCTCTCTCTCTCTCTCACACACACACACACACACACACACACACACACACACACACTCACCTGTAGGAGTTCATCCTAGAAAATCCTCAGCCAATGAGGAGCTGGGTGGTGGATAAATCCTTCTGTGTTCTTCCTTCTGAGACAATTCTGAGTCAGGTGTCTTCTAGTTCCACACAATCTCTCAACTAGTCCCCAGCCAGATTGAGCCCAGGTGCCCACCCTGTACCCAGGATCCATCACACTATTGGCTCCTCCCTGTCTCATTTCCTCATTTCCCCACAGTGTTTTCTGAGACCACATCTCAAATAAATTACTTGCCCGCATATCTGTTTTTGGTGGAACTCTAACTAGGACCAGGCCTGATCAAGGAACAAGAGTGACAGCTATGACAAGAGAAAACAAGGTGAATGAACTCATGGCCTGCTCCTGAAATTCCTAAACTCTTTATTCTGGTGTTTCCTAGAGCCTGTCCTCCAGAGGGTGAATATAGCCCTGCTTGGAGGGCTCTGCCCACCAGGTGACAGGGAGAGGCTGCAGTGGGGTAGATTCTGGGGGAAAGAGACTGCTTCAGACTCCCTGGTCCCTCCCTGCTTTCTTCTGCTCCTCTCTTGTTCAATCCAACCTCACTTCATTGGCTTCCCTAAGTGCCCCATTTGCCCTTTTGTTTATTCTAGGAACTCTCGATTTCAACAGTACTTCCGGGAATATGACTCAGAATGTCTCCACTCACCCTGACCCCAGGGCACACTGCACCTCCACCACCCCTACTGGTCCTTCTGCACAGAATCCTGTCACCACCTTCTCCAGGCCTGCTCACTTCACTGTCCGCCCTTCAAGGATACAGGGCCTGTGGTGTACAGTGCCCATAAATTCAACACAGGCTTGGAAAGTAGGGGAATGATGTCAGTGTTACCACATCAACAGTGTGCAGCCCAGGAAAGAGCAGTGGACCATAGAGCTCAGTAGCAAGCCACAGAATACAGTGCTATACATGATGCCTTCACCCAGTCCATTGTCTTAGCTTGGTTTGGCCATGTACAAAAAATACAAACCCAAGCCCTTGAGCCAGAGCCCTCTCCAGGGCATCCCCACAATTCATGGAAAGCCAGCATCTGGGAAGAGGGGGAGCCAACACTGCCATCTTAAGGCCTGAGAGGGTGTTGTGGGTTGAGACAACCACATCTCCACCAAAATTCGTCCATTGGGTAGGTAGGCCCTTGGAGAAAATGGAGGAGAGGAAGGAAGCAGAACAGTAGATCCTACAGCATTTTCTTGACCATATTAAGTGCCTGCACTTGGTGCTGGGATCAGTAAGGAGACATTTAGGGATTTTTAAGCAAAAAGTGACATGATCAGATTTGCATTTGGGAAGCCATTCTCCTAGCAGTCTGGTGGGTCAGTCTTTTGTTTGGTCTTAATCATAGACCCAGTTAAAAGTCCAACAACAAATTGTGGTAATGAAGAATTTTTGCCACAAATATATTACAGAACTGACGTCTTTACTTTATACAAATTGATAAGAAACAGCACTAGCACCTGTCTAGGAAACAAATGGGCAGTTGGTCTGAAGAGCTCACTTCCAGAACATATTCAGTGGATAATATGAAAAGTGACCACTCTCACTATCATATAAATGCCTAGCAAGATAGCAACTTGATCCAGTTCAGCAGTGTGGGCAGGGGTTAGGTGAGAAGGACATTCCTGTTGATAGTGAGATAGGTTCAGTGTTTCAGGAAGAAACTTTTGTCACATGCTCATTTCCTTTGACCCGATGACTGTATTTCTGGGAATTTATCAGAAAGTTATCAAAGATGCGGACAAAGACTATGTGTAAGGTGCACTATTTATAATAGGAAAAAAACAAAACCCAGCTGTCCCACAATCTTGTGAACTATAAAAACCTACAATATGATATCACATAACTGTTAACCATGCCTCAAACTATGCAAAATCCTTATCAGTTCTGGTTTTGTGTGTGCATGTGTGTGTGTGTTTTTCTGTACATGAGCATAAAATTAAAAACTCGGAGGAAATAAGCTAAAACGTGAGTAGAGGTTATCATTAGTTGGAAACATTATGGGAGACTTCTACTTTTTAAAAATATTTTTTCCTATATTTTTTATTTTTTCCATAACAATAAGAAGTTTATCCTCAAATAAGGAATTGCAGGCCTCATGAATTGCTCCCAGGGAGGCAATGTTGGGGCCCTGAAAACCGGGTCACACATACGTACTCACAGCCTACCTTTAATTCTCAACCCATAAAAATTAAAAAATTAAAAATACAATTTACCGTCTTCTGATCCCTACTGTATGCTCTGTGCTTTACATGCTTAATCCCATTTACTTCTCCCAACACCTCTCTGAATAAGGTTATTGTTAACAATATTCCCATTTTAGAGATAAGAGAACGGAGGCCTCCTGTCCCGTCCTGGCCTTTTCTCGGCCCCCTTCCTTTTTCACTCTATCCCATTTATTTAGCCCAGTCATCAGCGCAGACCCTGTCCTCTGAGCAGCAGGCCGCACATCCACAGACCCTCTACTTTTCCAGAGTAAATACACCAGGGCGGGGGGCAGGCCTTGGGAGAGCACTTCCCCCTTCCTGCTCCCGCGGCCTTTAACTTTGCCCCGGGCCCCTGCCAGCCTCCTCACTCGGGAGCAGTGGCTGCTCGGTGCCTTTTCCTCCAGGAGCCAGGTCAGCGTCTGCGATTCCTCTCCCTCTGGCCCCTTGCCCCCAAGTCCCAGGCCCTCTGCACTTGGAGCCCTTGGCTGTCCGCAGCTCCTGTCCCGTCGGGGGGCCTCCACCTCTGCCTCCACCACTTTATCATCATGGCCAAAAGCAGATACCAAATCACTATATTCGAAAGAAGAGGGTGTGGTTTTTTTTTGAGAACAGCGGTTCCAAGGTTTGTTCCTTTATACGCACCCCATTCGTGGGCACTCTGTCTCGCAGGTCCCCTCTCCTAGGCCTCCTCAGGGTTTGGGGGCCCGTTTTGTTGCTTTATATGCGCTTGACCCGACCTAACTGACGTGGTGGGAGGGCAGCTGGACTGGAGGTCCGCGCGGGGTGCGCGGCCCCAGGGAAGGACCCGCCCGCTGTCTCGCAGGCCCCGGCCCCGCGCCTCCGGCGGGCAGATGGCAGCCGCGCCCCGCCTCCGCGGGAGTCTCCTCGCGCTCCTGCTTCTGCAGCTGCCCCGGCTGGACTCAGGTGCGTCTCCCCTCGCCTCTGGCCTGCACGGCTGAGACTTCTCAGCACTTGGTTCCCCCGGAGGCTGCCACGGGGCCCCCCCATGGACCCTGTCGGGCGTCCCGGGTAGGAGAGGGACGGTGGCGAGGCCGCTGCGCTC